TGCTGTCATACTTTTTTACTTCAGTCACTGGTAGTCTGTATGCATGTTCGCCGAAACTTACTTCGTGCCAGCGATGAAGGAGGCCACTAGCAAGTTTACTCGTCTACACTACGATGATGCCCTTCATCATAAAGTACATCTTTCGATACCAACCTGTTTTGCGGCCGCCATTAATGTTTTATTGATGAGTACTGGAGCATTTATTAGTAGAGCTTCATTTAAGCTTTGGCAGCCGAGGCTACGTCTCTACGCAGCCTGCAATCGAAGAAAACCTGTAGTCGGCGGTGGCCTCATAAGTAGAACAGTCGAGTTTCTACACTCAGTATGACGCAACTGATAATCACTGAGTTATGCCTGTACGGCGTGCGCTGTGTAGCCAATTGGAGCAAAAATGATGAACCTATCAACCAGCCAACTACTTCCGTGGTGATCTACGATCCCTTTGTGTACTCCTCTGTTTCTCCGGTGCCGACCTATCAACGAACCGCTAAGCGACAATATCCTTTTTCCGCACTCTCATTCGGTTTGTTTGACCGTCATAAGTGCGCACCCCTACTTTACATTCTTCCACTTTTGGCCAATTGGTACCCGATAAGACCATAGAGCCCCACTGGAGTTCTTAACAACGTTTTCCGGAGGTAACTGCACGCCTGAGTTCATGATATGTTACAGTTTATTGGGCCTTGGTTACTAATAGGGCTGTGACATATTCTGAAGAGTGCCCTACTTGGATGTCTTTTATCACCAGTCGATTTGAGGAGATTTTGCCGATGACAGTCGATTGTCACGTACTGGTAGCTTTGTCTTGAGTCGGAAGTAGTTTCTACCGAATTCAGTGCGTTTTATTTACTTTACTTCTTTGAATAGACTTTATTCGGCGATAATTTTGAGGCGCTTTTGTTTCTTGGCAAATATCACGAGAATATCGATGCTTCGCATGTATTCAGACTTGGGATAGTTGTATGACTTCAAAGGTGTTGGTAATTTCCGATTCCATCATTTCTTACCAGAGGGACTGCTATAAAAGAATACTTGGTTCACAATCTATCCGGTCTTATCGGTATCATCGGTATCACTGTGGGTTCAGTGACTCACATCAGTCCCTTCTTCAAACACCTGAGTACTGTGGATTCTCGACTCTTGTGTTTTCTGTCAGGCAGAATCGATATCGGCAACCTAGTTTATCGGAGGATTGTCTGCACACTATTAACATTACCAGTGTTAGTGAGTAAGAACAAACACAGTTTAAAGACACCATACTTTATAGGTTAGGTTGTAAAAGACCATGTGTCCCTAAGGGGACCTAAACATAATCTCTGTCTCTTTTTTATCGTCCGTCCGACACTACTATAGTTCCTCAAGTGTCACTCGGCTCAGTGGCTTTAGTAAGTAATTGGGGTCAATGAATGAGTCGATTCAGAAGGATAAAAGTTGCTTCATCGAATCACTTTGTTTTTAGTCACTGGGCCCTGAGTTCACAGATTGGGTCAGATATTTTCATCTCTTACCACCCGTATAAAGCATGGAAAAATCGGACCTATCGCTTCTAGTACCTTTCAGGAGACGCTGACACTAGCCCTCCGATTAGAGTTGTTAACAAGACGTACATTAGCCCAAAATTTACGCAGAGGTTACTAGGAAGTGCAATTTTGTTAAACGTACCATACTGTCTACTTCGGTTAGGTGGGCTGATTTGGTTTGGCGTTTTTATTTTGTTAATCGGACGATGACGTTGAACTTGATACACTAGCCTACGCGCCCTAAATGCAACCGGTTCCCATATGCACCATCACTTTTCTGTGTTCCTCTTTACAGCCTATGAAGGAGACATGGACTAAGCTTCGCTCCGATGCACGAACCCTTGAGTCTGAAATTGACTCCAAACTAGCTGAATATGGCCGCCTCGGTGGCGCTACCTCTTGTGCGTCGCATTCAGACTGGTTGCACGAGTATAACGCTTCGACTGAAAAACTGCAGGGCCTCTTGAATAGGTATGCGCGTTTGTCTAGATCGCCCTCTAACCTATCGCCTCCCCAACAGGTTAGGAGGCCTGGTCTCTGAGATGGCTGGTAGTCCTCAGCAGGTGAACCGGAGCTACGCGATTCAGCGCTATCGCGAAATACTCCTAGACTATGAACAGGAGTTCAGACGTCTGAGGGACAACCTACTGGCTAACAGAGAACACTTTGAACTTTTGCGATCGGTAGGTTGACCCCGTTTGATCACCCAGACGAACTTTGAAGGCCGTACACTACTTTCGTTTTATGCCATGCAACTTTTGCATCAAACAACCAGGCCTTAGAGTCAAACATTCTTTTCTGCACCTTTCACAGAGCCAGCCGAACTGCCTGTTTCCTGACTTCTTACTTCCAACCTTGTCTAAATTATCGTTTCTTTGTTTTATAGTGTGATTAGTTTGATGCTGTGTGCAATGGGGTTAGACTTTTTTCCATTCCAACTCCAGCATCGTTCGCTGATTGCCATCGAATTTTGATAACCTTCCTTCCCTCTCTTTCCCTTGCGGTAGTTCGCTGCGTTGCTTCTGCTTGCTGTAGCCTTCGTGTTGCTT